CTTCTCCCTCTGACCCTCTACCCTCTCGTGCTCTCTATCTCTCATTCTCTCTCTCTCAAATAAATAAATAAAATCTTTAAAAAAAAATTGGGATGAATTATAAAAAGCCTACTGAAATTTAAAAAGTAAAAACTAAACATTACTGGGCTCATATATCTCCAATGCACCCACATCCTGCCCACAGGATCTCCCTCAGTCTAGACCCCTGGAATTCAAGTGTGGCCCCCAGACCAGCAGCAACAGCATTAACCTGGAGCTCCTTAGCAATGTCAAACCTCAAGACCCCAACCCCAACTTACCAAATCAGATTCTGCATTTTCACAGGATCCCCAGAGATGCTTCTGCCCCTTAGTTTGGACGCACTGCTCTAGATAGATGCATGATGCAGATGATATGCCTCTGTAACTCTCCTCATCCAACAAATCCCACCTTGAACCTTATGTCTTCCCAACAGAATCATTCACAGTCCCACCACCTGAAGTTCTTTCCTAATCCCCCATTTCACCACCTAAATCATCCCCCCTTCCTTCTCTCCACTCCCTCCCTCCCACCTTTCTTCTTCTCACTTCTTCCTTTACTGGTTTATTGTCTGTCTCCCTCTACTAAAAAGGTAAGCTCCATGAGAACAAGGACGAAGTTTGTCTTAATCACTGTTTAATAACCTTCCAGAACATTGTCTGGGTCATAGATGTTCAATAGGCATGTGATGAATAAATGAATGACTCTATCAAAAGGTGATCTGTTTGTACACCATATCAGGGATGAAAATCTTACTTGTCCATCTGCTTAACCAGTGTATCATTTCTTGTAATTTCCTGATTAATATTAATACCTTAGAGTATTTACACACACCTACATTTCATGTATAACATTTTAACAGGTAAAAATGTCCACCTGAACTCTATTTCCAGAGCCTTATATAAAATATCCAAAGAAGTATCTAACATGAGTGTGACTATAAAGTAATGAATTAATTTCTCCAAGTCATACAGGAAAATCAGTCTCATTAGTTCTATAGCACATTTTTACCAAAATAGCAAGGTCAAAGATAATTAACATAAGATTTCTAATAAAATAGTTCATTACCTTAAGTGTTAATGGTGATATTGAAAGTTTGTTTTTTGGCTTCCTCATATGTAAAAATAACAGGGCCATTTCTAAGTAGGAGTCTCTTATCAACCTAAAATTATATAACATTGTACTTATTAAATAGCTTCACCATTCATAATCATTTTGCATCATTTTCCACAATTTCTGAGCTAATGAAAGGGAAAAATAGAAAAAACCAGTATCTGTCCCAAACTCACACCTTCTTTTCATAGCACTTTTGGCATAGACACCAGTACCTTCCTCCCTACTGAAATTGGAAGCTCTTGAAGAGACATTCTACCCTGTCCTGTGCTGGCAACACTCCATGACATGACTGCTCTGAAGCCCAGCATCAAGACCATTCTAGAATAGTCCAGCCCACAAGGCACTAAAGAAGTGAACGTCAGGGCTGAAGGAATCTGCCTTGCAAAGCAGATCTCTCTTTCTATCCTCCTACACTAATTAAAATAGAAAGAGACACACAGAGTTATGCAGAAAGCAGTGATTTGGTATGGGTTAGGTCTGTGTATTCGCTATTAAACCTGTCAGTTGAGGCCATTTAAATCAGTATAGTTTGCATCTAGTAGATGATCAGTAAATGACAGGAATCATCATCATCACTCTTCTCATGGCTAAAATAGCCACAATAAAATTATATGAATGTATTATGCAAATATGTATTGTACGTAAGTTATAAATATAGGTATGCTTATTCTCAAACTTAAGATGATTTTTATATAGAATTAAGTTGGCCAGCCCTGGTCCTGTTGACATAGTGAACATCCACATAAATCCTTTCTAGATAAAATTTCACATCCATGGGAGGCTGCTAGAATCCTGGGACAGACAGGAGATGGATGTGAGTAAAGACTAGAAGCAAATTCACAGTCCCGTATGCCACCGTGATAACTGCCATCATCAACCATCACTGTAAACAAGGCCTTGGATCAGAGCCACGGTCAACAATCTTGAAAAGGAAGTCAGTAAACCTGTTGGACAATGGACCCCAGTGAATGAGTCCTGCGGTGGGAAGGGGGTCTCCCAGTCATCCCAGCCTTGAATGTTCAATGCACTACCAAAACATGGGGCTTAAATCAAAACATATACTGTTATAAAGATGGAAAGGTTTTTTTTACCCTGAGTTTTGATCATTTCTCAAGCTTAGCTGTATAGCTTCAAATAAACTCTCAAGTTGTAAACTTGGAGATTTCTCTTCCATCAATATTTGACGTTCTATTTTGCCTGAAAGAATAAAAAAAATACACAAAAATGTTTTTTCCTTTTTCTATCATTTAGAACTTCAGAATAAATATTTCATGCTGGAACTTCAGAAAACTGGATGTTCTGTCCTTTTTGCCCATCTGTCTGTTGTTTTTGCTGTAAGGTCAGCTAATAGTGAAAGATCTTCTGCTTCCTTCCCCAGGAGTCTCCAGGCTCGCCCTGCCTTTAGTTAGCAACATTGAGTCAAAGCCTCCTTTGGGGGCTTCCAGACACAAATGTTCTTATCTTATTTTTCTATTTCCTTACTTTGTACTTCCCTTTCCTCTGTAGGGCTCATTCCCTTTGTCTACATCCATGTCCTCTTTCCTCTGTCTAGTATTGCAGATATCATAGAAAACATCTCTGTTAAAATAAATCCTAAAAAGTCAACAAACAGTTGAAAACAATCACAAATGATCCAAATGCTTTAGGGTTCACCCAGCTCTCAGGCCTCATTGTGACCCACAGCCTTCACTGGAATGGCACTTCTGTACCCAAAAGGGCAAGAAAGGGAAATCTTTTATCACTATGAAAATGATTCACAGTTTTCACGCAGCATGTGAATATGGCACAAAGCCTCCCAGTGTTAAGTTCACATCTAGGTACTATCATTTAGTAGCTGCTGACCTAGAGAAAGTTACTCAACCAGACTGTACCTCATTTTCCTCATCTGTCAACTAGGATTGGCCATGCATATCCTATAGAGCTGTTGTAAGAATTAGCAATATGAGATGTTAAATACTGACTACTACAGTGCCTTGCATCTAGTAGATGATCAATAAATGACAGCAATCATCATCATCACTCTTCTCATGGCTAAAATAGCCACAATAAAATTATATGAATGTATTATGCAAATATGTATTGTACATAAGTTATAAATATAGGTATGCTATAGCCACTTGATTTAAGTGGGTTTGTATCTTTTATAGAAATTAACTAAGATGCCTAGCTAAGGAATGAAATTATGCATAAAAAATGTCTTCCAAGCATTATTTAAGAAACATTATTTATAGCTAATTGGCCAATGATGACATTTTTGAGTCAAACATGAAATTTTGCATAAGGAGGGTCAATTATAATCATAAAAGAAACTAAGAAGTAGCACTTTCTCTCCCTTTCTTGATATAAACTTAAAATGAGCAACGTTCTCTTTATCCCAAACTAAGTCTGGCAGAGGTACCAATGTCTTTGCATCACTAAGCCCTTTGTAAAATCTGTATTTTTTATAGTCACTGACCAGGTTTTCAAGAAGTCTATTGTTAATAGGAAAAAAAAAATTCCACAAACTTTATCATGGTTCTGACCCCAAGTACATCTTACCTTTCTGAAAAAGAATTTCAGCTTCCACCTCATGTTCTTCTGTTGCTGATACCTGACAGAGCTTCAGTGCTATTTCAAAAAGATGAAGGGCAGGGAACCACTTCGAGGGATCCTTCTTTTTACTGGTATAATATACTTGTTTGGCCATAATATGTCCTACAAGGAACAGGTTGTTCATAACAAGCCTCCAAGTTACCAGACCTCTCTCACCACCAGTTCTATGAAGAACTCTGGTACTCTTTACTTTTTAGTATCTAAGAAATATTTTCTTAAAACTCAATACCCAAATATTTCAATGAACTATAACAGTAGCCCTTTGCAACTTTATCTTTGATAAATCTTGATATTTTCTCATTTTTAAAATGAAGGATAATTTCTCCAGTCTCTTTCAGTTCTAAAATTTCATTATGTTCTACAAAACAACTGTGTTCCTAAGATGAGGTTGTTAGCAGGGAAACATCTGGAAGTTTTATGAAGTTTTATATTGTTCCCAATAAAAATTTGCATGTATTAATAGGCAGTAATTTTGTTTCTATTCAGCTCTATTAGAGGTTGCTTGCTATGCATATTTTGTCATTGCAACTAGATGGAAAAAGCCATTTGGATAAGGGCCATGTGCTATACTTCTCGTGTGGTCCCATCATCACTTAACATAATGAAGGACTGCTGTATTCTTGAAGAGGCATTAGATTTAATCTGCATGCCCTCACAGACAGACAGACAGACAGATATCTATTTAGCATGTATTTTCCAATGCTGGATAAAATGGGAGGCACTGGAAAAAAAAAATGAGAAAAGAGAAAAATAAGAGCTCAGGTTTATTAAGTGCTTTCTACAATCCAGGTACCCTCCCAAGGACTTAAGTATTTTCTCATGTAATCCTCCCAACTCCGGCTGGATTTCATTAGTACACTACCTTTACAGAGGAGAAAGCAGTGCAGAGTGAGGTTTGAGTAATTTGCCCAACATCACGTGACTAGTAAGTAGCTGGGCTGTGATTAGAACCGAGGCAAGTCAGGCTCCAGGACCCACACTCTAAACTATGACAAGAGTCAGATCGTGGAGCTTAGTGTTTAATGGGGAATGAGAATGTCCTGAGCAGCAATTAAAATACCGTGTGGTCAACAATGTGTCAGGGAAAGCACAGGGCGATGTGGTGGCAGGTTACAGGGGCCTTCGCCCAGACCCCAGAAAGGCTAGGGAAGCCCTCCCAGGGAATGTGGCTGTTGGGGCTGGCAGCTGATGATCGCCTTGTCTTTTGGTAATTTTACAAAAGGAAAATGTTGCGATAAAGAGTAGAAGGCAGTGGGGGAAAATACTTATTGATGGGAAAGTTCAACAGCACAGTGGAGAAATATAAACAGGAAGGTAGTGTGGGATTGCGGAATGATACAGTGGCTGGGTCCCAGCTGAAGCGCTGGGTTCGAGCTGGTCACTGGTGCTACCATGTCATTTGAGACCTTGAACAAGTCCCAACATGCCTCTTGGGTCTTGAGTGTCTTCCTCTGAAAAATGAGGCAGTAGAACTAGAAAATATCTAAGGTCCCTTTGGGTTCTGAAATTTTCAATTCCAAAATGCTATGCCCTACAAAGAGTTTTCAAGAAACCAAGAACTTTTTGTAAATTTTCAGTTGAGAAATGAAAGGAAGGGTGGTGGAAAAAGTGTATCTCTCCCTCTTTCTCTCTCTCTTATCCAAGGAGATGGTACGGAGCCCTGACTCTGGACAAAGCAGGTTGGTAGCACACTGCTGAGAAGATGGAGATGAAGAAACTGAGCCTTGCTTCCAGGGTGCTCCCAGAAGAGCAAGGAGGCCAGGCATGGAACAGTGAGAATCGCTACCACCTACAAAGCTGTTAGAACGAACTGGGTGCCCTTCTAACAAGGTACACACTCGCTTCATCCCACAACAAGCCTGTGAGATTGGTATTTTTCTTAACCACATTTTATGAGAGAAGAAACTGAAGCACAGAGGAGTTCAAGTGACCTGCTCAAAGAAAGTGGACCAGAAATCTTTCTGCAGAGTCCGTGCTCTTCACCCCAACAGTGACCAATTGTGAGTAAATCCCAGGCAAGGATATGCTAACATCATCTGTCCAATACAACCTCATATTTCAACACAGCTCCTATTTTTATGTGTCTCACTTCTTGTTTCAAATTATACTACAGCTGTTTATTAATATAAGACAATAATATCAAGTATCTTCATGTAATTTAAGCAGGTATATATATGTACTATATATGAAATATGTATTATATATAATAAAGTATTAATATATAATAAAAGTACTTGAATTGTCTTCTAGATTTTTGTGAAAATTAGGAAGAGACTTGTTACAGAAATTACCGACAGTTTCCTTTCTCTGTCCCCCTAACTGGATAACGGGCTCTGTGAGGGCAGAGATGGTGACTGGTTCCCTCTTACATCCCCACTCCCCAGCATCATTCTTGCAACTTTCTTCACTCCTATTATACAATTAATCAGTAACCTACTTTTTCATCTTATGAGAAAGCTCAAGGTTTTGCCATTAATTGGAAAAATAATCTCAAATAACCATGATGTTTATTTTTGGTTTTATAAAAACAATCTCAAAGTGCCTTTTTCTGTCAGAGGCTTTCACAAAGAAAAAACAATTACTTAAGTGGCTCTATTCTTGTGATGCAATCTATATGCTCACTATAAAGGAAAACTGTCGAGAAAGCATCAGATCAGATGATTTTATGCTTCATAATATTGAAGTGCTCCTGTTTCCAATAAATCTCAACTCTGTGAAAAAGAAGTTGTGAAACTGATGTTATTTTGACAGAAAATCTGCTTTTGGTTTTGTTTTTTAAGTCTGTATATAATATAACAGAAAGCAAGCTGTTCTGCCTCAAGTGAGTCTAAAAAACGGTGGCACTATTGTCACTGAGTGGTGACACATCTTCAAGATTAGGAAGTCATGAAAGCAGAGAATACATTTGATTTAACACAATCTGTACTTTAAGCTCTTGTAGCAATCAAATATACTGATAATATAACAAACTGTGGACTAAAAATGCACAAAAATAGCTCTCCTGGGATCAGATTGCTGGAAGGAATTCTAGAGGTCAGCTAGGCCAGCCAAATTTCATAAATAAGGCAACTCAACAACGTAGAGGTGATGCAATTTACCCAAAATAGCAAAATTCCTATCTGATGATGATGATGATGAATCATATAATAATAATAATCAATAATCATGAGCGGGAGGAGCAGAAGGGAGAAGATTCTGGACAGATGATGATTTGACCACACCTCTGTTGCCCTCCCTTCTCCATCCTAGTCCAACCATCAGCCTCTCCTAAGCTGAGCAGCCGCTGGTACAGGAGGCAAATGGGCCCCAAGAGGTGAAGGTAATGTTTCAAAATGTAGGTTTTATTATTGTTCAGGTGTGATGAGGTCAGCAGGCCAGGTGACAACTACCACTGAAAAGAGAGTTTGTTACTTACACTTCCCAAGAGGATGGGGCACACCACACCATAGAGAAAAGCACAAAAGTCAGTCAGGAGCAAGGGGAAAATGTGGACAAGAACCTTTATTCTGGATTTTAGGAAGAGGTGATTAGGTTAGGGTAAGCAGGCTAAGCAGGTTTAGGATTGGCTAGTTTGAGTAATTTCAGTGGGCTCTGCTAGTAGTCTGATACCTGTCCCCAGGGTGATTAGGGCAGGAAAATAGTGCCTCGGCAACGTGTCAGAGCCCAGCAAAGGACAATAAGGGAGCCTAAAAACGGTTCAGAGGATGGGCTCTGGAATAATCTGCATATAAAAGGCATGTTTACAGGACAGTGGCTTGCTAATCTCTAGGAATTGGCTAGCCCTGGGAAGTCCCTCCCTGGTCAGCAGGGCCCCAGATGTCAAAGCCTCAGAAACACAGAAATTAAAAAGGCATGATTAATATAGGTTAGAACAGAGAGCTGCTACCAGGTTTTCTGCCCTCTGAGCTGGGCAAAAGCTGGGGAGCTAGAGGTAAGCAGCCTTGGGTCAAAGACCAGAGAGGGTGTCCTAGAGAAAGCTTGAAAAATCTGTGAGCTCCTAAGGAGGACAGTACCAGTTGGTTCCACTTTGGTTCCCAAGGGCTATACGCCTCCTATTTCCTGCTCCAACAACTCCCATTAGGTGCACTTGTGGCTGGCTCCAGGCTACCCTCCAATCTAGGCTTCACCCAGCAGCCAGGGTAATCTTCTGAAACATAAACCATCCCAGCTCACCTCCTCCCATGAGGCAGCTCCTAGTCCACTCTCATCAGGCTGCACTGGTTTCCCAAAGTTCTAGAATAGGTCAAGCGTGTCCTGACCTCAGAACCTACAACTCAAGGCTCTCTCTGCCTCTACCATGCAGAACTAGTCACTTGCAATTTAAGGTTTAGGGTTAAATACCACTTCCCCAGAGTGCTCTGCCCCAATGACTCGCTCCCTTCATTATTCTTTATCAGCAGAATTCATCCACATCTTTCATAAAACTGACCACGATTTATAATTACATACCTATACATAATTCAGTACCATACATAAGCTTTCTATATCCTCACTGATTTTCTGTCTGGTAGTTATCAAATAAACATTTTATTTTATACAATATTTATCTTATTAAATTTTATAAATGTTTACAAAATTTTAGAAATATTTTACAAATGTTAATATTTATAATATAATACGCACTTCTCCATATGGTTTGTTTACTTGCTTATTTCTGTCTCCCACACTAAGATCAGGGACTATCTCCATTTAATCTCCAGTAACTTCCCAGGACCTCACACAGAGTCTGGCACATGGTAAATAATCAAAAACTATTTGTTAAAATAAACGGAGCCTAGGTATTCATAAATATTGCCCCATTTGAATGCACTCCTATGACAACGTGCCCGAAAATAAAAATTTTTCATCAGTGACTTGAGAGTAATATATGTTTAAGTGTTCTTACCAATTCTCATTTTTGTTTTGGCCAATAACATGACATGAGGAAGATAGATATTTTTCAAAGGCTGTAATGGACTTGCATAGTCAGTGTTTGATAAAGGAAACTCAATTGTCTCTCCAAAAGTTAGCATCTGTAAAAGGAACATTGTAGTTAGTAACTAGCTAATGTGGTTTGGAATAAGAAGACAGAAAAATAAGTTTCCAAGTCTTGAGGATACAAAAGCATGCTTACCTGTTCAATAAGAATGTTGTGAGACTGAATCAACAAATGTAATTTTTCTGTTTTTAAAGGAGTTTCCTTGAATTTCTCGGCTTTTGTTAAGTCATCCAGCAAAAGCATGCTTCTCACCAGGGTTAAATGAGATCGAGGAGAAATAAATTCACTTTCTTCAAGCAAATGTATTATCGCCTATTAAAATAAAATTATTCCTTTTGATAGTCCCATTTCCAATTCACTGAAACAAGAGCTAGCCAAACTGTTATGCAGCATTCAGCACCTAATGGAATTTAAAATTCTCTCCTTTTGTTCTAATCAGAATCAGTAGTTAAATATCAATGTGAGTGAGGTTTCCTTCCTACCTGAAGGTTGGTTATGATGTCTGCCTTTAGATGCTTTTCTTGGAGGCCAATGATTACAGCTTGCATCAAGAACTCGGCCTGTAGCTCCCTGTCACCTGCACTTTTTGCCTCCTCGCACACTTCATTGATGAGGCTGACGTAATCTATCATGTCGTTTTCTAAAGTAAATAAATGCAGTTATTTAAAGTACCCTGGGAAAGTAAGAAATTACATACGCAATACACCCCCAATGTTCATGACAGGAATATTGTATAATACAGAAGGACAGGAAGATATAAAGATGGAAAACAGACTCTACACGAAACATGAAAAATAAATGTGTTGCAATTTGGGAGAAAGTACTTTAGGGTACTCCAGTGCTGCAAAAGTAAGGATGCTACATGAAAAAAATTAATGTGGAAGATGGAGAGAGATGGGTGGATAGATAGATTTACAAATAGATACTTATCAGTCACTATAAGAACATGTATATGTGCCAGGCTATAATCTAAAACTTTATAAATTTAACCCATTTAAGACTGATAATAACCCTAAGAAGGAGGTACAATTATTTCCATTTTTACTGAGGAGTAAACTGAGGCATAGGGGGATTAAGAGACTTGACCAAGATCACACAGGGAGAATATGGTGGACCAAACATGTGAACCCAGAACAAGTACCTGGAGCCAAAGTCTGTGCTCGGGACCCCTACACTATGCTGCCTCCCTCAATGACAAGAAGACCTGCACGTTAGTATTTTGATCTCCTTGCCTGGTCTGCATACATCAGAAACCTAGATGCCATTTTCAGTGATACAAGGGACTACTGACATGATTATTCTTGTTTAAGGACATGAATTTTTTTATTCTGGAAACAGATCAAGCTATAAAGTTAGAAAATGTTAATGTTATAATAATAAAATGTATCTCAATAAAACCTCCATTACCTGAGTAAAACTAATGTTTATGAAAACTTGGCTTAAGAAAATAGGATATTTGTACCTGTCACCATTCCAATGCCATGAATCTGTGCAACAAATGCAGTCACCAGTGCTAAGCGGCACCTCAACCAGAGATGAATGTTGAAATATTCTCGAGAATTTAGGGAAACGGGATCTAAAAACTCGTTATCATCTTTATTTTCAGTAGCCTAAACAATACAAAAATGATGGTTATCTTGCCATTTAATAATGTTAAAGGTCTAGCCTAATGCTAAATGTTAAGAGAAGTGTCTGGTATCATTTAATACTATTAAATTTTTAATTTTGGAAATCTGTCTTGCACATTCTATAAACTATGAAAAATACACACACAAAATAAAATCATTCACACCATCCTCTATTAATATTTGGTTATACTGATTTTCAACTTTTCTTTTTCTTTCTCTACCCATTGTAGACAATAGTTTTGCACTCTGAATTTTTCATTGCAAATTATATTATCAGTGGTGTCTATGTCTTCAAAAATTTTGTAAACATTATCTTAACGGCTGAAAAAAATTAAATAATGCTGGTTAATACTTATTGAGTACTTATTATGTTCCAGGCACTATGCTAAGTATCTTATACACATTATCTTATTTGATCCTCCCGAAAAGCCAAAGAGGAGTTATTATTTCTGTTTTACAGATGTGAGAATGGAGACCTAGGAAGATTAAATATTTGCTTAAACCTGTACCTCTGAAACAAATAATATATTATATGTTAAAAAAAAAAAAAAAAAAGAAGACGATAGCAGGAAGGGAAAAATGAAGGGGGGCAAATCGGAGGGGGAGACGAACCATGAGAGGCTATGGACTCTGAGAAACAAACTGAGGGTTCTAGAGGGGAGGGGGATGGGAGGATGGGTTAGCCTGGTGATGGATATTAAAGAGGGCATGTATTGAATGGAGCACTGGGTGTTATACGCAAACAATGAATCATGGAACACTACATCAAAAACTAATGATGTAATGTGTGGTGATTAACATAACATAATAAAAAAAAAAGAAGAAGAAAAAATATTTGCTTAAACTCCATTACATTTTGGCAGAGGTAGGATTCAAACTTGTGTCCTTCTGAATTTAGAGCCCCCCAGTCTTAATCCACTGTTGTATGTTGCTCATGTTCCAAACATGTATTATAAATGATTTCCCATCTTCATTACTGTACTTTACAAAGGGTTGACCAATGTTCAGAGCTCCTGAGAGGGAAGGACAAAGGCAAGTTTTCCCAAGTGGGGGCGGGGAATCCATTTTAGACATTTGGGAACTTTAAAATCATCTAGAACAATGCCCATTTGTTCTAGGAATTTCCTGCTATGCATCTCTGACAGCTCCAACCAATCGGCAACATGTAATATCAAGGAGCGGCCATCAGGACTTGGGGGAGGCTGGAATGTGGAGAGACAGGTGGGAAGCACAGAAGAGGAGGGTAAGCCAGCACTGGGAACAAAGAAAGAAGTGAACAGAGGCCTCAAGGCAGAATGGTGACTAGAATGGGCACATCAAGTACTCCAGAAGTCTAGGATTTAGATTAGCAATACAGGACAAAATGCCTATCCACACACCTTAATCTCTCAGCGCTTACACTTCCTGTGACTACTGAAGAGCCACGTCACACTTAATCTGAATCAGGATTTCTCAACCTCAGCACTATGGGTAGCCGTGGAGGACGTTATAAGTTTAGCAGCATCCCTGACCTCCATGCACTAGATGACAGGAGCACCCTCTCTACTTGTAACAACCGAAATGTCTCCAGATGTTGCCAAATAACCCCTGGGAGGCAAAATAGCCCCCAACTGACAACCATTCCTCTAAGTCAATTTTTGAATTAGATTGCTTTTTAGCATTTTTATTTCTTTTAATATAGTAAGAAATGAGTTTCTATTTAGGATAATTAGTTTTGCTCATTTGTAATGACACTAGATATTAGCAATTTTATTAGTAAAGCTTAAAATAATGAGCAAGGATTCTATGTGATGAATCTTTATGTTTTAATCCTAAACAACCCCTTTTTATTAAATTACTTGGTCTTATCAAACTCCAATAAAATGTCAAAGAATTCATGACACCAGTCGTCAAAGAGATTTCAGAGCTTTAGTGTGGAAGAATTATCTATGGGAAATCCAAGGTAGGAAATAACGCAGGTGTCACACTGGTGATGTTGAAGTAATAAATTCAAAAGTGAAATGAAGAGCCAAATAAAGTGAAACAACTTTATTTGCTAAAGAAATCAGATCTAGAATACTGGAATGATATATCTGGCGGGACCTTAGTCATTATTACATTCAATTCCATCAGTTCACAGATGAGATTTAAATGAAAAGTTAAAATTTTTAATTAAAAAAAATTTTTTTTTTAAAGTTTAAGGGACTTGCCCAAGTATACCACTAAATGAAGAGCATAAGTGGGGCTTCAACACTTACCTTTTTACTCTGAATTCAAAGTTTTTTCTACTTTACCCCTTTATTTCATCCAAATAATTAGACAATTTCCTAGCATGCTAACAGTTATTATATAGTAAGTATTGTAAAGAGAAACATTAAATTCATACATACAGAAGCTCCTGGAGAGACAGAATTCTCTGTGTCATCTTGTACTCCCTTCCTTTTAAAAAGTTTTGAATCCTGGAGAAGTCTAAGCGTAGAAAATACTATTGCAGCACTAAAATAGAAAATATATTTTAAATCTCATTAGTACTGACAATCTCATTAATAAAATGAGCACATATGCATTTCATATGTATCACAATGTGGTTCTCCAGTCTTTCAAGGTTATAGAACTTTGTTACTTAAAGCTATACATTTGGAAACTCTTACACTAAATTATTGCTTAATCAGTGTCTAGAAGTACCAGAAGGCAGATGTACTAAACTAAGAAAACAGAAGTTAGGAGATAGGAATTCTCCTGACTTCCTGTTGCTCCATACATAAGTTTGTCTGCACTTTAAACCAATTTATAACTGATATCACACTTCTTCAAAATACCTTAATAACATATATCGAGAGACTTCTTCTTTTGAAAATCTATTCCAAAATGAAATCCAAAATGCGGAACAAGCTGTATACCTGAAGATGCTTTGTAGCATTATTTTATAACATGGGAAGAACTGGGTGAAAGCCAAATGGACAATATACCTATCTACCTAAGTCCCCACTTGAATAGTTAATAATCATATTTAACAGGTGTTATAGGTTGAACTGTGTCCTCTCAAAAAAAGAAAAAAAGAAAGAAAGAAAGAAAGGGGACGCCTGGGTGACTCAGTTGGTTAAGCATCAGACTCTTGATTTTGACTCAGGTCATGAACCCAGGGACATAAGACTGAGCCCCATGTTGGGCTCTGCACTCAGCAGGGGTTCTGCTTGAGATTCCCTCTTTCCCTCTCCCTGTGCCCCTCCCCCAATTCAGGTGCATTCTCTCTCTCTCTTTCTCTCTCTCAAATAAATAAATAAAATCTTTTTTTAAAAAAAAAGGTATGTTGACGTCCTAACCCTCAGTACCTCAGAATGGAGGTAATCTGAAATGATCAAGTTAAAATGAGGTCATTAGGGTGGACACTATTCCAATATGACCACTGTTTGTATAAAAAGGGAAAATTTGGACAGAGAGACAGATATACACAGAGGGAAGGTGACACGAAGACACACAGGGAGAAGACAGCCACGTGACTGGAGTGGTGCCTTTACAAGCCAAGGAATGCCAAGGATTACGGGCAAACACCAGAAGGTACATGAAGCAAGGAAAGCTTCTCCTCTAGAGCCTTCAGATAGAACCTGGCCCTGCTGACATTTTGATCTTGGAGCACTGACTCCAGGATCATGAGACAATAAAATTCTGTTGGTGCTTTGTTATGGTGGCCCTAGGAAACTGATAGAATAGGTTAAAAGCAGGTCCCCTGGCTTTTGCCTCCTACACCAAACCTGCCCTTCTTCCCTTGTTTTCCATCCCAGAGGGAGAGTCCAGATCACCATTGCTTCCTCACTAACTCATGCTCTATATTCAATCCATCAGCAAGTTCCGTCAGCTTGACCTTCAACATATGGGTACCAGCCAGCAGCTCCTCACCTCCTCCAGGGCTAGTGCCTTCATCCAAGCCACCATGATCTCCAGGCTGCACGAATGGGAGCTTCCTGATCGGCCTCCTTCTCTGGCTCTTGTCCCTGCAGCCCTGTCCTCCACACAGCGGCCACAGCGACCCCATCAAGAGGCAAATCAGATCCTACCACCTCCCTCCATATAGATTTCAGAGGCCCCCTGTGTCCCTGGACTGTGGTCAGTACACTTCTTCCTATGGGTCAGTTACTGAGGTTTCTGGCCAAGTATATGCTCAGCTTCATACGTGTCCACGGATGCTTGTGAAAAGGTACAGTGTTTGTAGGTTCCCAGAGTGTGTACATATGCTCAACTTTTAAATTATATTTTTAAACCCTCTTCTTTTTTGTCTATATGTTGTATTAAAAGCTGAAAACAGGGGCACCTGGGTGGCTCAGTTGTTAAGTGTCTGCCTTGGGCTCAGGTCATGATCCCAGGGTCCTGGGATCGAGCCCTGCATTGTCCTCTCTGCTCAGCAGGAAGCCTGCTTCTCCCTCTCCCACTCCCCCTGCTTGTGTTCCCTCTCTTGCTGTGTCTCTCTCTGTCAAATAAATAAATAAAATCTTAAAAAAAAAAAAAAGCTGAAAACATTGTGCTAACACACATATTCTGTCCACAGAGATTTTCTCTTTTTTCTTTTTTTCTCCACAATCCTTTAAACAAACAATAACTGGCATTTACTGAGTGTTTACCACCAGTCAGGTGCTGTGTTAAGTGCTTTGTGTGAATTACTTAATCTCCACCACAAACCTACAAGGTAGATACTATTATCATTACTTGATAGATCAGGAAATATAGACAGAAATATTAAGTGCCTTGCCTAAGGTGACACAGCTAATAAGAAGAGGCAGGATTAGAACCCAGGCAACTGGCCTGAGCCTGCACACTTCACTGCTGCCGATAGCGTGGCCTCCGTCTTTCCACAGTTCTAACAAGTTTGGTTTGGTTTTGGTATACTGTTACTCGTTGCCATGTTTATGGCGGCTACATAGTCATTGTTGACTGCACCCTTCATCAACACAAAGGCCCTCTCTGTCCACTTGACTGCCTTTTGCTTTGCATTCTACTCTGCAGACTTCATGAAATAGTATCATTCTAAGGATCAAATGAAGTATTTGTTTTTTCACTTGTTCTCCTATTGGCAAGGAACAAATCTAAGGGCTGCGGATACAGTTGCTGCCTTCACGGAGTTGACCTTCTGGTAAGAGTGGGGTGTGCTTAGCACGTAGGAGTACTTAGCAGATACATGATGCTCAGTGCACACTAGCTGTACTCATTTCGTGTATCGAGTGGGCCAGGCATATGGGGGGGAACCAAGCTGATTTTCTTCTATGTTAGTAACTAGAATATAAAGCTTCCTGCAATTATTGAATTTTAAATTCCCAAGATTCTACTGAGTCATTAAAATGGTTTAGATATTTGTAGAATATTTTCTAAGGTATGATTTGTGATTATATAACCTTAGTGGTTTTTATTTAAAATAAAACTAAACAGGGGCACCTGGGTGGCTCAGTTGTTAAGCGTCTGCCTTCGGCTCAGGTCATGATCCCTGGGTCCTGGGATCGAGCCCCGCATCGGGCTCCCTGCTCCGCGGGAAGCCTGCTTCTCCCTCTCCCACTCCCCCTGCTTGTGTTCCCTCTCTTGCTGTGTCTCTCTCTGTCAAATAAATAGATAAAATCTTTAAAATAAAATAAAATAAAACTAAACAAATAGCAAGAAAACAGCAACAGATGTAACACAGATTGAGTACGTATATGGGAATGCAATTTCCTCTCCCTGACACCCTTCCCCACTCAAGCGTTCACACCAGTTTCGAAGGCCCCTTGTTTCCTGCGCAGCTTCAGAGGTGAGCACTGTATGGTTCCGAAAGGGCCCGGGAAGAAGGACGGACGTGGTGCCCACCTCATCATTCTGATTCTGAAGGCTAAATTCTGACTTCAAGAGAAATGAGGTATGAGGTTTAGAATCTTGCTAACCCAAAAACTTAATGAATAAAATATAAACATGCTAGTATATCCTAATCCTCCTGGTGCCACGTAGGTGCACAATGGAAAATTTCTAGTTTCTGCTCTCCACCAGAGAGACAGAAAGTATAGGAGGATTACTCACTATAAACACTCTGAAATCCCCAAGGAAGGAGGTTTCATTCTGACACAAAATTAAAAGGCTCAAATGTTATCCCATTTAGACAATAAATCAAATATAAAAGAGAACGGAAAGGAACTTATTAAAAAAAAAAAAAAAGATAGGACTCTGAGAGAGGCATCCCTAAAAGAAGTAGAAATACAGTTGGAGTAACTTTGATCCCATTTATTTCTTATTAACATTCATGACAAAAATGGTCAGTTTGTTCTCATAAAATCCATGCAGCTCACTCTACCTGTCACCCTAGGGAATGTGCCTTTCAGTTTCCTTGACACATAATTTTATTAGAAGTATCATAAAATGTCAAGCTAACCATCATTTGGGAAAGGGACTGTCCAACACTCTCAGCAGTGCCCAAACCGAAGCTTGTGGGGGGTAAAGTTCACATAAGAAAAACTCATTCATCTTGACAGTAGGCTTCCCCAAATGACAACTCCACTGCAAAAAGGCAATAACATCAAACTCTTTGCAGGTTTTGTCCCAAGGGCCAGGTTCATGTATTTAAAATAGGAGCGATTCTGATACACTTGCACATTATTTGCGTATGTCTATCTGGTTTTCAAATTAAAGTTCTACAATGACATTCCTTTCTGTGGCCATTTTGTAATTTTATTTTCTTGTTTCCTTCTTCCTTCCTAAAAAAAAAAAAAATCACTCATGTCTTCCATGGGTGTAAGACATGTGGAAGGCTGAGGATGGAAGGTAAACAGCAAGAACCATTTTCTGGGGCGGCTATTGCTCTCTAAAATAGTCTGGAGAAGAGTTCTATATTCTTCTACAGGAAATCATATAGTCATGTTTTAGAGGGAGAGGGAGATGATGTATTTACATATATATATATGCAAAGCATATATTTTCTATTAATAAATCACCTAGTAAAAATTCCTGTTCTTCAAACTTCAAAAGGAAAAATGGTACATTATTATGCTAATAAGCCCATTTACTATCAATCAACTACCACTGTATTTTTCTTAAAAATAGCTACAAATGTAACAATACTCTGAATCAGTGTGTCTCAAACTTTTTTGTTTAGCTCAGCACTCTTTATATCCTTAAAAATTATTGAGAATCCCCAGAGCTCCATCAATATTTACCATATTGGAACTTTAACTTCATTACTATTTATTAATTCACTTTAAAATAAAGACAATAAACCCATTACATGTTCACATCAATAATGCATTTTTATGAAAACATTTATATTTCCCAAAACAACAACAAAAATGGTGAGAAGAATGCATCATTTTGCATTTTTGCAAATCTCTTTAATGTCTGGCTAAATAAGAGAAAATCTACCTAATAGAAGACTTTCATATCTACTTCTGTGGTCTGTTGTGACATATTGTTTTGATTGAAGTATATGAAGAAGACTAGGCCTCACAGAGATAGCTGTTGGAAATAGGAAGAGTATTTTCATATCCTTTTAAAATAATTGTGAATATTCTTCTTTGATACTATACCAAAATGTGACAAGTGATAGTTTTTTAAAAGTCTTTTGCAATGTGAAAGCTAATACCACACACTGATGAAATTTCCTCCTCTGTTACATTATAACCTATTGGTCTATCTTGTTACCCAGGATTTTGGAACATTATCCACTGGTGATGTGGAAAATATTAACTCCCTGAGTTATGTAAATCCCCTTGATGTTGAAACATTTCTTTATATAATTTTTAAAAATGATGCTTGTTAATCTTAATTACCACCAATCTCATCAGAACAATTATATAAGCATTAGAAAACTGTCAAGCTCCGATGGACTCTGAAAAACAAACATGGTTCTAGAGGGGAGGGGGGTGGGAGGATGGGTTAGCCTGGTGGTGGGTATTGAGGAGGGCACATTCTGCATGGAGCACTGGGTGTTATGCACAAACAATGAATCATGGAACACTTCATCTAAAACTAATGATGTAATGTATGGGGATTAACATAAGAATAAAAATAAAGAAAGAAAGAAAGAAAAAGAAAACTGTCAAGCTCATGGTGACAAATAGAAATTTTCCAAAACTCTCATTTCCCTACAAAAGTTCAGATTTTATCATTAGCAACAAATACTATTTGTTGTTTTCCTAGAAGTGGCATGTTCATTTTGCTCATTTTCAATAAAATGCCTGTCAAATACCCAAGTCTGAAAAACCAGTTTGTCAGTTGGTTTTTCAAATAAAAACGGTGTTCCAAGAGACAAACTGCTTGTTTGGCTCTCATTTCAATCACGTATGTGTTCTTCCCCAAGACAACCACCAGACTTTGGTATGCAGCAAAGATGCTTTAGGTGTATTTCCCATTTAATATTTCCACAGAATATTAAATATATATTCAAGGATAGGGATTTATAAATGTAACAGATTCTACTGGTTCATCAAAGGCATTCTTAAATGAAACTAGGCCTTTTTTTTTAGGTAGGTTCCATGCCCAGTAATGAGATCAAGAGTTGGATGCTAACCGATAGCGCCACCCAGGCACCCCTGGCTTTTTTTCTTTTTTTTTTTTTTTAATTGCAAGTGTGCGGCAGTAAAGAATGCAACGACCACTAGTATGGTTTGGTGCCACTGGTGTGATTCCCAGTGAGATGCCAGGAGCATTGGTGCAAATAACAACACAATGAAGATGGTGAATGACATCGTAGTTTTGTTATAAAAATAGTTCTGACCATACAGTTCCCCCTGAAAGGGTCTTGGAGACTCCCCTCGAAATCTGCAGACCACATTTTGAGAGTCACCGCTCCAAAATGGACTAAATGGATTTTTATCACTGTTTAGAAACCACAAAAATTATAAATGTCCAAAAATCTACACTGCTCTAGCATAAAATCAAATTTAGATGTGGTTAATCATGGGATGGTCTTCGGTCAAGGCTCACACTGATAAGACGGTTGTATGTTTCTAATCAAAGCAAAGTGAGATTTCTGCTGAATTGATTTCCCCTTTGCAAAAGCTACAGCTAGGCTTCTCCTTTTTCTCACAAAGAAAGCAGCTGGGTTTTCTTATCTGCCTGCCCAGATGTGGGGCAGAAGGGGGAGTGGTGGGGCTTGAAAGCTGTCAGCCATTGAACATCAAATTGGAGACATACTCTTTATTATAACCACACAATTTTAAAACGATAGCTCCTTCTCCTCCCCCTGTCTCTACTCCCAATATCTCCGTATCATGTATCATTTTTGACCATACTATATAATTTACTTGCTTATTAAGTTCATAGTTTATTGTCAGCCTTTATTACCTCTTATAAACTCCATGAGGGTAGGGTTGTTTTCAATATTGTTAAATATTTTGCCTATATAGTATATATCCAGTATTGGGATATTGATATATCTCCAGAACCTAGAACAGTAACTAGCATATTGTAGGTCCCCAAAATCATTTTTTGAATGAATTAATGAATGGTAAGATAATAAACTTGTGCATTATTCAAAGAATCATTACTGAAATGTCAGACAGCCGCATGATAGAGGTATTTACCACAAATGACATGAGAAGTTCTTGAAAATATAGGTCTATATATTTTTTATTATCCCACTTAATTGTTTATATATCTTTCAGCATATGGATACAGGAACTATATTCTATTCATCTCTATAACTTCAGTGTCTAGATCAGAACCTAACAGTGAAGTAGTTAAAGGATACTGGTTGGGTAAATGAGTGAATCAATGAACAAGTCAAATGAAAGATCTGACACTAACAGTTGCATAACATTTAAATAATCATCTACCCAAAACTGTTTCTTAAATGGTTTAGTAAAACATAATTCAGAAATTGTTACTTTTTAATAATAGAGCTTGTTTTTAATATTAACTATACTGCAGTTAAAATCAAAAAATAAAAAATACATAAATTAAATTAAAAAGCAAAGCTCTTTTAATTTGTTCATTCTCTGTATAAAACATCCTAGCTGTATGCTTTAATAAAGCAATCATTTTGTTTAGAACTGTAGTTTTAAGGGTAATAATATATGAAAACTCCCCTGAAAAAGAAAATACAAGTAAGCTCTATTAATACTGGAATTTATAAAACGCACATAAGATTTAGGTATATCTGACAAATTAGGGTGAGGAAGAAATTCTCTTCTGTGCCTGAAGAGACTCACCTGTATGCCGCCCGGTGTCTCTGCAGGGCGATTGCCGCCAGCTGAAGCCTGGCTTCCACCACAATCTCCAACTCACCAGCAGAACACTGAGAGAGGTTCTTGTGGCCTGGATGCTCTATCTCTGACACAAGAAAGTTTAGTCTGTCCTCAGCTTCTGTCAGTAGAATTGACTAAAGAAAGAGCACCACACAATCACGTAAGTTCAGAAACAATACAAGTAATATCTCACCCTTATTCATCCAGGTGTTTTTCATGTACTGAGAAAAGTAACAATGAATGGAAGACCAGATAGGAAATCTGAACATAATCATCAGAGAAGCGTGCTCAGCAAACAGGAAAAAGGCAACAGGAAGTGGAAAGGAGAGTAACGGCAAGAGTAAGCATGTATCACAGTTACCCTTTATTGTATGCACAGCCAATGCTCATTACTCACAGTATTTAAACTCTTCTATAAAGTGGCTGCAAATACTGAATTAGCAAATACTGAAGCATTGCTCCTAGAGGTAATACAAGGATAGGTTCCTGTGGGCCTCGGGTCACAACATTTTTGCCAACTGATTCACACATAACTTTGTTTAATGTGTGTTTATATTTAAGGACACATTATTTAATAAATACCATAAATTCACTAACCTTGAACTAACAGCTCTAAAACTCAAGCCTGACGTTTATCTAACACATTTATTTTCTCCATAAAGCACATCACAGCCTTCTTACATTTAGGAATACTAAACAGTATTTCAGCACTATGCTTAGGGGCCATTTCAAACAGTGAAATCACCAACGAAAAGCACAAAAATGCAAAAAAAAAAAAAAAAAATGTGGCAATAAATAGACCATGGAAAGGATACTTGTTTACAGTATGAGGGTAGAAACAAACAGAGCACTGCCTTGTCCAACTCAGCTGGGAATGTGTGTGTTGGGCAACTCAAATTTTTCTGTGCTCTGTGATGTTCACAAATGACCACAAATGAGCCATGAGTATCAATACTGGAGTTATGAGTAAATTTTAGCAGATAGGCAAATTAGCAATTACTGAATCTGGGAATAATGAGAATTGGCTGTATTTCAAGTTAAACTATGGTCATCTAACTGGTAATGTGAAGATAATGAGATTTTACAATTGACAATCAATAGTAAATAGCAGCCTGGCATGGCAGAGGAGAATGGGACCAGCCAATCTTTCAAGAAACAGGTCTCTAAAAACTTGTTTGTACAGTAAATATTATATAAGTACTAGGACACCTTAGTATAATGGTTAAGAACACCATCTGTATTTTATTAGTTGCGTGGCATTAGTGAATTTTTTTCTAAGCCTTAATTTTCTCATGGTTCAGCACAACATAGTTCAAAAATGATTAATACCTACATCACAGAGGTGTAAGAATTAATCATGCAAAGTGCCTGTCATGTAGTAAGCACTGAATAAATGGTAACGGTTTGTGTTGCTGTTGTCATCACTCTTATTATTAGGAAATGAGAAACAGGGCGTGGAATACTCAAATCTCATCAAATAGTGAATCATATTTTCCACAGTGCCTTAATCAGGTTGTAAAGTCAAAGTCTGACAACCTCTGGGCATCTAATTTTCTCATGAGAAGTAGGCTCCATCTCTCGCCTCAATCCATGCTTATGCAAGAAAAGCTACTCGGTCTCCTGAGAGCAAACACAACCCTGAAAGTGAGCCTGTCCAGGGCTTATTAGTGGACATTTTGGTAACCAATTTAGTATGATTTGAAAAATCTTCCAAACTTACCTTCACTGTGCTAAAAGTGAAGTCATCTTTCATTTTTACAAACTGACCAAGTGAGCTTCCATCATCCTTTAAATATAGCTCTGTAAGACAGAAAATTTTGGAAGAACCAAGGATATCTGTGGTTAACTTAAATATTAATTCTAGTTTACAAAACTCATCATGAGTTGGGAAACCATCCATAAATTTCATATTTTAAAAAACCCACAATGATAACTGGAAATACTATTTTATCAAATGGTCCCTAAATATCATATATTCAAAGATTGAGGATGATTTTTTACAACACATCAGACAATTCTGAAAGGATCTTTAGGATGCTTGATGATATTCTTTAAATTACTGGCTACTGATACAGAGTAATGGTTCCTCCCCTGGACCACTGGGGAGGACCCTTTCAGGTCCCCAAAGTATTTTGGGTCTTCCAGATATTTATAACATTTCAATAAGATCTCCTTGGAAATGTCAGTTCTATTGATTTGCATAAGCCTCTCATACTGAGAGCAGAGAGTGAGACCATTTGAAATAGCACAGTCCACTAGATCCACAAGTATCTCAAAATACCGAACCACAATCTGAAGGTTGTCCTTATTCTGAGCCAGGGAAAACTGAGATAATTGAGATCACAGACTCTGCCTGCTTTAGTAAACCTGACTTCTAGAATATAGGAGAGAGAGAAGAAAAAAAAAAAAAAAACCACGACTGGGAATTACTGCAAAAAATACCCACCTAAAGAGACTAAACTTGTCAAGGAAGAAAAGGAAGTCTAAAATAACATGGAATTGAATACCCTTGCCTTCCCCTCTTCTTCCAACTCCTACCTACTTGGCTCTTCTCCTAAAATAGGGGGCTCTGGAGTGAGAGGTCAGCTGAGTATGAAAGAGGGCTTAAGAATTGGGAAAGGCCCAGCAGAAAGATCTAGGGCTGGGTTTTCTCCCCTAAGGGAGAAACTAAGGAAGAGACAGAGAAAGATAGAAATAAATGCCTGGAGACTGGTATGAAAGAATCCTGGGAGATGTATCTGAACATGAGAGATGCTAGGAAGAGTGTGATCCACATTTTCCTTCTGCTCTCTCTGCCTCTGAGTGACCCTGGTGCTTCTCTGTGTGGCCCTCCTAGGTAGTAACCTGCTCCTCCTCTTGGAGGGTTAAATAACAAACTAGATTTTTAGTGGCCATCATCTCCTGATCTGTTGGCCTCATCACACCCAAATAATAATAATAGGAGTTACATTTTAAAACAGAGCCAATATTACTCCAGTATCCAAACTGGACAAAGATACCACAAGAAAAACTACAGACCAGTATCTATAATGAATAAGGATGTAAAATTCTTCAACAAAATACTAGCAAATGGAATCCAGCAACATATAAAAAGAATTTCTACACCATGACTAAATGGGAGTTAGCCCAAGAATGTAATTACTTTATTACACCATATCAATAGAATAAAAAAAATAGAATCATCTTAATAGATGCAGGAAAAGCACTTAATAAAATCCAGCACCCTTTTAAAATAAAATCATTCAACAAACCAGGAATAAAAAAGAAATTTCCCTGCCTGATAAAGAATATCTATAAAAAATCCACAGTTAACACCATACTTAATGGTGAAAAACAAACTATTCTTAGGGCAACATCCAAAACAGTTGAAAAATACATACATACGATGACCTACAAATCCCATACATGGGCATCTTATCCCATAGAAATATACATTATATGATATGGATATGTAACACTTCAACACTGTTCCCTAGAAATTGATGTGAATGCACATCAACAGTAGAATGGTTGAATAAACAATGATATTCACAGCATAGAATACTATATAACCAGAGGAGCAGAACAAACAAAGCAGTTGACTTGAAGTGGTTTTAGTGAAGTTTTTCTGGGTAAGAAACACAAGATGCAGAAAAATGTAAAATATGTCATTTTATAAATAAATGACAAGTCCTATTTTGTACACATATATATGAAAAAGTATATGAATACTGACATGTATGAATGGATATGGATACGCATGTACCTGACACGTGCGTCATGAAGTGAGATTAGAGAAAAATATGGAATATATACTAGACTGTTCATATGGATTATTGGGAGTGGAGTGGGAACAGTTGGAGAAAGAGGAGAAAGGAAAACAAGCAAAAAAATAAAACAAAAGATTACCTTTCAAGTTTGGAAGGTTGGCTCTACTCTTCTCAGAAGTAAGTCCATGGTAGATTGTTTTCATTGAATTTTCTGGGACACAATTTATTGTTGCAGCCACACTTATTAAAAAGTATGCTTTAACAAAAGAAAACTTATTTAAAAGATGTTCCTGGCCAAGTGTAACTAGAATTACAGGCAATCCTTTACTTATTAATTCATCAAGTGCCTAAAAAAGAAATGAAACAAGAAAACAAGGCAAATCAGTAAAATACTGTTTTCAGGTAATATTAGTTTTCATCCCCTTTTGCATTCCTCATTTGGTGTTAGATGATGGAATACAGGATAGACACGACGTACCATAAGTGACAGGTCTATCGCAAGAGACCTGTAATGTCAGAACTATCCCAGCGGTTCTAAGTGCCTCCGCCCCTCCCCACCAGTTTGTGACCTGGTTCATGAGCCCAGCCCTGCCACATAAGGAGTGAACCTGGTGCTGAGAGCAAGGGAGGGAACATCTTATCAAAATAAAGAACCCACAAAAGCTCATCAGCCATGCACGCCCGGCTATTCTGCTTTCACATGAGTAAATTAGAGGTACTAGGACAGGAGCGGGGGGAAGAATGGGTAGACAAGCATACTCCCTACCCAGCTTAGATTCCAAGCTCAATCATTAGAACTCTGCCTTGTGTACACCCTATTAACTCCCTGGTCCCTCTCCTGTGCATATACACGTCCTTGGCAAAACAGCCATGGTTTGGCTGGACCTTCTTTAGGTGTGCACACTGCAGCTGAAGAAGACTGAAGAAAAGCATGCAGTCAGGCTAAGCCATCCCACTTTAAGATCCGGACCAAACCTCAGTGCTACTTGGTCATCATTCTACATTTTCCCAGTCCATTCACTCTCCCTCTCTCCTAGACAACTATTTCAGGCTCTTTCTGTTTCTAAACCCTGACCCTTCCTCCCCATGCTCCTCCCAGCTAATGACCTTGCTTCTTCTACTTAAGAGAGAAAACTGAAGCAGCCAGAGTAGTGTCCACAGACCCTACAGCTCCATCTCTCCCACCTACCCAAGCAACTGCCCTGCCTCCCTTCCTGCCACTTACGCCATGGATCCTCTCCCCACTGGTCTACTCAGTTATTCTCTCCTACATCATAAATGTCCCCTTGCTGCAGACATTCTCATCAGCACAAAGCCATGCTGTCTTCTCTTCCATCTTAAAAAAACAAAAATTGTCTATACTTTGACCTCCTTCTCCAGCTACTACCCAAATTCTCACTCTCCTTTATAGCAATGATTTAAAGAGTTGTCAATATTCCAATTTCTCTCCTTTCATTTGTTTTTAAACCCACTCATTTCCTACACTAAAACCCTTTAAGGTCACCAATGGCCTATACTTGCCTTAAACCAGTGTTCAATTCTTAGTCCTCATAAGCCATGTTATTTTTAATCTAAGACATCATTATCTTATATGCCAATTAAACCATCACAGGTCCTCAACTATAAAATGCATTCTAATTTCAGAGCTATTAAATGTGAAAAAAGATCCTGTTTAAGACTCAGTGAGTTGTGGTGCTTGATTCATCTGCAAAATATGACGCTATTAATCAATTCCTCTTTTGAAAATGTTTCTCTTAGCTTTCAAGTCACCACATTCTCTTGGTTTCTTTCCTATCCTGTCAGTCATTCCTTTTCAGTCCTTGCAGCTTCCTCTTCTTCTCCTACATTTTTAAACACCAGAGTGTCCCAGGGCTTGGTCCTCTTCCCTTTCCTTACTCCCTCCCTAGATGATCTCTTTTTTTTTTCCCCTTTAGATGATCTTAAACAGGCTCATGGTTTTAATTTCATCTAAATGCTGACGAAATCCTGAGTTTTTCTTTCCAGCTCCAATCTCTCTTCTAAAGTCAAACCAACTTCTGACTCAAATAGTCCACTTGGATATCTAAGAGATATCTCAAACTCACCATGTCCAAAACTGCATTCCTAGCCTCCTCACAACCACACACACACACACATACACATGCACACACACACACACACACACACACACTAAAATATAAGCTCTATGAGGGCTGGGAATTTGTCTGTATTGTTGATTGACTGATGTGTTTGATTGACAGCACTGAAACAGTACCTAGCACACAGTAGGCTCAATAGATCAGTTAAAGTGATCCCTTTAAACAGGTAGATCAGGCCACCCCTCTGCTCTAAACCTTCCAGTGGCTCCCCATGCTGTTCAGAAAAAGAACCCAAGTTACAAAGACCCTACAAAGCTCATCTTGAGCTGGCCCCGTTACCTCTCTGTCTCCTACCACTTCCGCATCATTCACAGGGCTCTTAGCCACACTAAGATGCCCCTCACCACCTCACCTGGCTAGGCAATCCTGCCTCTAAGGCCTTTGCACTCACTGCACTCTCTTCCTAGATGGTTCCTAAATTTCCAGATTTCCTAAACTTGCACTGTTACCTGTTTATAAATGCCACGTCAGTGAAGACTAACCTGATTACCTCATTTAAAATTACAACCCCCAACCTAGCCCCAAGCTCCCAATCCCCTTTATGTGCTTCTGGGCTTATTTTCTCCCTTACCATGGTTCACCTTCTAACTTACTATATAATATACTTAATTATAATGTTTTTTCCCACTAAAATTTAAGCTCTCTGAGGGCTTGGAGTTTGTCTGTTGCTGACTGACTGATGTATTTCTTTGACAGCACCAGAATAGTGCCTTGCACACAATATGCTCTTATTAAATATTTGTTGGATTAACAATATTTGTTAATTAATAATTTCGGATGTTGGGGCTGTCTATTCTAGAAGAGAGGGAAACTATTTGCCTTATGTGAATTAAAAAAGAAAAGTCTCGTTGTTTGGGAGAGTTTGAGGCAACACTGGCAGTGAAGTCTATTGCTGTTGTTGATTCTCTACTCTCTTCTAAAAGGTGAAAATCACTACCTGCAGAAGAACCAGACATGGAACCACACTGAGCCTGAGCAGGCAACAAACTGCGTACTAGGAAAATGGCTGACATTCTCTATCAGGGGGTGGCGAGGGGAGAAACTTCAGATTGGTTGGGGGTGGAAGGGGAGGGGAGAAGGTTTCTCTTCTCTTTTTTCTCCCTAGCAAACAGTGTCTTAATGAGCCTTGACAATTACACACAAACACTTGAGGATCAAAAGAAGATTAATTAGTAATGCTACTTAACACTCATTTCTCTCCCTCTATACAGAAAATATAAAGTGTAATTTGAAGAGTCTTAAGCAGACCAACAGTTCTGTTTTAATTAATTAGCTAATAGAAATCGGCTTTCCATTTTACTGTCAGTTTCTTTTTGTTTAAAAAGAAATGATCAGGCAGACATTCTCTTTATACCCAAAAACACTCCTTAAAAAAGTATTTTTAGGATGTCTTGGAATTTATGACTGGAAAGAAATAAATATTCTTAAACATCCGAAGGTCTTGGAACAATGAAACAAAATATGAATATGTATCTTCCTAACACCGATTCTTTCATTGCAGGCAACTTGCTTATAAATCAAAACAAATTTTAAGGCCAAACAATGAATCATCTGAAGCATAATTAAAAATGAAGTTTGTGGAATAACAAGAATAATGGAAAAGTAGTAAGATTACATTTAATAAAAGGTGGCTATAATGCCTATCAAAATTATGAAAGATAAAACTAAAGCAATATTGAGAAATGTTTCTCAAAATTGTTTAATAAAAATATCTTACTTAATGAAACAGAATGCTGTTTCCTAGCATTTAAAAAAATTAAAACTACGTGCACCTGTCTCTCTACATTGACTAACACCTGGTTGTGTGAATGCCTTACCTGTTTGTAACCCCTTAACCATGGCTGCACTACCACTCCTCCGTTCTAACACTTTCTAGTGGACAAACTGACAAGACTCCTAAGATTTAAAAAAAATAATTTCAAGATATTTAAATGCTACATGGCATGGATGGAGCTAGAGAGTATTATGCTAAGTGAAATAAGTCAGAGAAAGACAAATGTCGTATGATTTCACTCACATGTGGGATTTAAGAAAGAAAACAGATGAACATGGGGAAAAAAAAAAGAGAGGCAAACCATAAAGCAGACTCTTAACTGTAGAGAACTCACTGAGGGTTGCTGGAGGGGAGGCAGGGTGGGGGATGGGCTAAATGGGTGACAGGATTAAGAAGGGCACTTGTGATGAGCACTGGGTGTTATATGTAGGTGATGAATCACTAAATCCCACTCCTGAAACTGATATTATACTATATGTTAGCTAACTAGAATTTATATAAAAACTTGAAACAAACAAAAAATACATTTAAATGCTACTAGGTTATCAAAAGCTTAAATCCTAATCATTCAATTACTGACAAGAACAAACGTATTGAGATGGGCAGTCTAGTCTTTTCTATGTAAAGAATACTGGGATGTTAGAGGAGTTTCTTATGAAAATGCCATATGGGGGTGCCTGCATGGCTCAGTCAGTTAAGCGGCTGCCTTCAGCTCAGGTCATGATCCCAGAGTGGAGGGAATCAAGCCCCGTGTCAGGCTCCCTGCTCAGCAGGGAGTCTGCTTCTCCCTCTGCCCCTTCCCCCTGCTCCTTCTCTCTCTCTCTTAAATAAATAAATAATCTTTTAAAAAAAGTTTAAAAAAAAACAAAATGTCATACTAAAACCTTCCATTAGCTAGCACTACAGTGGTAAGTATATTGCAGTATGAAAATGTGTCAAACCGTTCAAACACCTTAAATTTATACAATGTTATATGTCAATTATGTCTCAATAAAAATTTTTTATTTTTATAATTTTTTTTATTTTCAATAAAGGAAAAAAAGAAAACCACTGACTGAGAGAGGCAGTCTCAGACTGGAGAAAGGATGTGAGTAAAAGCAGTATTGAACAAGTGAGCTAAGAGCAAAACACACAAAATCCTTTTCCTACAATCGAAGTCAGCCATTCTCGTCTAGGTAGTCAAGATAAATATTAAAATTAGATACTTGACATGGCTAGATAAACAAAATGAATACATATACATAATTGAAAAATTTACAAGTAATAACTGATATTTGCTCAATTTGAAAACCAGATCAGTTTCGGTCCAATCCTACCTTGGCCTCAGCATTGGGAGATAAAATCCCATTATTAGAAATAGAAGAGCATATTATGTAGGAGATTTTCTTTTTCTTTTTCTTTTTTTTAAAGATTTTATTTATTTATTTGACAGAGAGACACAGGGAGAGAGGGAACCCAAGCAGGGGGAGTGGGAGAGGGAGAAGCAGGCTTCCTGCTGAGCAGGGAACCTGATGCGGGGCTTGATTGCAGGAGCATCTGCTTAACGAGTGAGCCACCCAGGTGCCCCTATGTAGGAGATTTTCAAAAACAAGGGTTACACCTACTAAATAGATTGAAATGACTAAAAGTTATCCTTCCTAAACATCCAACATTTATAAAATATTGTTATCCTTACCTGTATATTTTCTTTACTAGTAAGAGGTTTTCCTGAGTCAAATGATTGAAATATCTGTCAATATACAAAACATTAACATTAGAAACAAAAATATTAGTTTTTATATGAAACTGATAATGTGTCCTAAAAGTATTTTAAAAATAATTTTTATTGTAAAAGTAATACATGCTCTAGTCAGAAAAGCAAGTATAGAATAAAGAAGAAAGTAAAAATTACACATAAGTCAACTTCTTTTAGGTTGTCAATGTTAATATTTTGATGTCTTTACTACCAATTTCTTTTTTATGTATTCTAAATTTTTACTTATATGTATTTGTATTCCTTTTCATTAAATATTATATCATACTCATTTTTCCATGCCATTAAGTCATTTGTAAACCTCAGTTTTATAGCTAGGTAATGTTCAATCCTATGAATGAAGCATAATAACTTAATTCCTTTCCTTTTGTTAGACATTGAGGGGGACTAATTCCCACTTTCATCCCACCATTCAGCCCTAGTTTAAGTAACACGGGTGGCTATTTTGTCTGTATTTCTGATTATCCTCTTTGGATAGATTCCTGGGAGCAGAACTGCTGGGTCATAAGAGTATTAGCACTGAGTATTAGCATTTAGAAGAATCTTTGCCAGTTTGAGATAAAATCATATTACTCTTCAGAGTAACTCTTTTTGTGGTTCTTTTCCTTTGTTGTGAATGACCTGTTATATGTTTGGCTCTAAATACAATGTTACATTAGGAAACATTCCATTTATTTGCCACAGGAGATGTATCTTTGTATAGGGTGCATTCCTTTTGGTACAGAAGGCCCTTTTTTGAAGATGTCAATACTGATGCTCCACCCATAACCTCTCCGTCACCTCGAAGTCACCAGCAGCTTCTGTGGATAGGTTATTCACATATGGACAGTATCCTACTTCAAGTACCTTATTTCTTTGCTTGAGGGCGTTCTGTGGCCACAGGAGTATTCAGGAGAGGCTGGGAGTGCAGGGAGCAACCCATTCCAATAAGCATAAGATTGTTCTCCCTGGTCTCTCTGAGGGCCCGGTTGCCCACGCAGGGACATTCATGTTCTCTGTGATGGTTCTCCTCCCTTCTGATCTGACTTTCCCACACACTCACCATTCTCCTTGGAATCACCTCCCAAATATACTACTTGTTCCCAATTCCTTGTCTTAGGATCTGAGGGATTTGAGGAACCTCTAAACCAAGACATCACATATAGCTCTTACTGGAATAAAGTGTTGGTAAGTGTTAATTTTTTTTTTCCTTTTTTGAAGATATCCTGTATCTTCTCTAATCCATTGAAAAGTGAATAACTGAATCCAGGGGAAGACCTTTGGCGATATAATTGGAAGAGAGTTGATGATGGGACTTTAGATTTGGCAATAAGAGCAGAATCCCAATACAAGTATCATGTTAAAAGATAGAGTTTCTGAGGAGAAGGAAAGATGGCAGAGGAGTAGGGGACCCTATTTCAGCTGGTCCCCGGAATTGAGCTGGATATCTACCAGACC